ATATATGAGTCCTGAGATACTTTTGACGGCGGATGGCTGGTTTGGTGATGCCCTGGATGTTGTCTCTCAAGACTTTTCTGTGACGCTTAATGCATTTTCCAAGCCCGTTTCCTCCATTACCACACCCAGACAATGTTACACTCTCAGTACATACATGTATTCGCTAGCATGCTGTAACCACCTAGTAATATATAGCGCCAATTAACGACGCGCTAGAAAACAAGGTATCTTGAAAACTTCGGTAGTGCAATTTTCTCGTCCCGAAGGCAGACAGTTAGCCTCGTAATGATTGGATCTCGCTCTTCTGGTGTTAGTAAAGTTGATACACTTTGTACTGTTGTCATAATAATAATATTATATAAGTATAAAACATTGAAAAAGAACATAAATAAATTTTTCAAATGTTAATTAAATATACCAAATTCTGATAAATTTGTGAACTGCTGAAAATATAAGACAGTTCATATCATAAGATAATGTGTTATAGCTGCAGATCTGTAGCGTTATGGTTTTATATATTTGTCTTTTGACCGTAATGAAAAAAAGGTGCAATTTACGGCGCAATATTTTTTTGCGCTCTTTTGAGGAGAATTTCTTCACTTTCTAGCATTGGTCAATCAACAACCTTTCACTTCCTAATTCTAGACACATTTTGTAGCCAATATTTATAATTTTTCCACCTTCCGGCCATTTAAAGTTGTCTCTACAGGCAATAAGGCCATAACAAAAATATTCCTAGATTCTCATCCCCGCCCGCCCCGATTTTAAACCCCCGCCTCGATATTTTTTATTTCTGTTTTTCTTCGTCTTAATTCTGATCGGGATCGGTATTCATCTATCATTCTACTTTCGTTTTAAATCCCGCGAATGTCAACATGATTTTGACAGCTGAAAAGATGGTAATTGCTGTAATACACGCGTATATATTTTAAACAAGGGTCATTGGTTGAAAAGATTGGTGATGATGTGAAGTGATTGAACCTTTACTATGACTTTTATTCGGGATTGTAGATAAAATTACAGCGATTGACCAGGTCAATAAAAAATCTGCAAAATTGAAAAAATAAAAAATATAAAATAAAAGCCGCCCGCCCGCCCCTATTTTTAAAAAAATTCGGATGAGAATCTAGCAATTTATTTATTATGGCCTAAACTCGCTTTAAGTAAATTTTCAGCAATCTAGCAAATAATTTTTAGTCAAGCGAGTTTATCACTTGTAGAGACGAATTTTAATTGCTGGGAGATGAATAAAATATATAGATTCGCTAAATAATGTGCTTAGAATAAGAGAGTGAAAGGTATTTACATGTAATTGACCGATGCTGAAAAGTGGAGAAATTCTTCCCAAAATATTGCACCGTAAATTGCACCTTTTTTTTTGCAATTTACTGGATCTGTAGCGTTATGGTCAAAGACAAATATATAAAACCATAACGCTACAGATCTGCAGCTAAAAGTGTTAGAACCCAATAACAACAGGTGTGTGTCTATTAAAATCGATTCGTCCAGTCTAAAAAGTTTGTCAAAAAAGATCATTTCTTGCTTTATATAATCTTTTCACAAAACAACGAAAAAAGAAGATAAACATCGTCTTTTTGACCACAGATACATTTAGGAGATTTAATAATAATCCTTCTGAAAAGATTTTTTTCTTTTTTGTTTGTTTGATTATCCCCATCCACATATTACACTGTGAGTAAATAGAGTGCTTGTTCATATTACTTGTATACATATACATGTATCATGCATGCAAAACAGATTATCTTCACATTGTTTGCGCATCGATTCTGGTTTCACAGATGAACGAAAATGACTATATTGCAGCCCCCGGACTCCTTTCTTCTACTGCCCCCCCCCCCTCGTTACATGTAGTACCTAAAGACGGATGGGACAACAGACAGCTATAGACGGACGGACAGACAGCTAGACGGACGGACGGACATACCGATTACTATATACTTTTCAAGCTGGGGAGGGGGGTACAATTTGAAAACATCTCTTTATTTTTTCTCTTTACATGTATCTCATTGCATGAAGTAACAATACGGTGCTTTCAGAAATGTAAATACTTATCATTACAGATCACAGAATTTGAGTGTCACGTCAGTCAAACTTGAGGAATGGCCCTTGGGGGCTAGGCTCTACTTTTTTCTTTAGAAAATCGAACCTTATCGAGAGGATGAACACAAACTAGTGTAAACAAGATCAGAGTGACACAGATGACTTCTTATGATCAAGTTCAAGGATTTAAACTAAGTCAGTGTGACCTAGATGGCTTCTTTTTATTATTAAGTTCCAGGATGTAAACTAGGCCAGCTTGACCCAGATGCATGACTTCTTTATGATTAAGATCCCGGATGTTAACTTATCAGTTTTTAGAGCGTATTGATATCTTTATTATTTTTTTAAATTTCATTTTTGATAATATGTTTGCATGAAATTTAAAATTCAAGCTCAAAAGTCCAACAAACAATACAAAATAAGAGCAGCTGAGCAAACGCCGACCTCAAAATATCAGAGGTGGGATCAGGTGCCATGGAGGAGTGAGCATCCCATGCCTACCGGTCACACCCACAAAGAGCTACAAGTGTCATGATCGGGAAATAACGGAAAATCCGTCATTAATTTTGCGTGTAAATAATCTACTAAAAATTAATATGAAAAATGTCAGTCATTATATGACTCCATGATAAACTGTATTTGCTGTCTAGATCATTGTATCGACGATAGAACTTACGAAATGATTACTTTAAACGCGGCTGCTGATATTCTTGTTTCATCAACTTGTTTGTCCAATATTTTACCTCGTTTTAGAAATTGTTCATACGTAGAACATCCTCTTGCGTATCGAATCAACCGAGAGATATAAACTTCGTATGCAGGTGATGGAGGTATAGTGCTGCATAAGTAAGGGAAGTACATGTATATATATGTATTTCATTTTTTTCATCATGCTTTTTTTTCATTTTGAACAAAAATGAAATTTTAAAACAATAAAGGCATACTTTGGCACAGGCGTCTGTACATCCGCAAAATCCTCCTCCTTTAATTATCGAACCTTTACATTGCAGAGGCGCGATTTTAATACTTTCACATAATTGTGGAGTACATACAATTGCCTCACTAACAGAAATGTAACCTAAAATCAGTACTAACAACCACATAGTTCCGTGTTCTTCCGAGGTTTGAGTTATGAGAGTATGACACCTGTGCTAAGGTAAGAGAGATATGCTAATCTACAGGACGTCAGTGAACCCAAAGTGAAAAGAAGGACGCTTTCAGATTTCATTCTCAAATAGTTGTGAAAAAAATACGTCATTCTCCTTAAATTGTTGTTACTCTTCTTGAGATATATAATTTTAAAACGTTTGTTTTTGCAGCATTCATGGTGAAGACCTGATGGATAAAAGCACGAGTTCTGTTTTTCCAACTTGTACTTCGTAGTTTCATATCTTGCGATTTATTTTCCAATGGCATGCCTTCTTCCAATAACCAACAATCAGGGGTATATAGTTTTAGATCTGTTCGTCCGCAAAAAAATTAAATTTGATTGGTTGATATTAAGAGTTTTATATAATTTAATGTGCCATTAATTGTTAATTCTTTAATTAGTAATTTTTATTAAAATGGTGGCCTTGGCCTGGTACAATAAAGTTAATCTTCGCATTTGAAATGTATTTGAGTTAATCATTTTATCATGGTGATAAAAATAATTTTATTTTTATTAATTATTAAGAATAATTTGTATAATACACTTTCTATTTTAAAAATTCTGCACATAAATGCAAATCATGTAGCATATGACTTTTTTGAACTAAAACTCAACATATTTGGTAAATTAAAAAAAAAAACTTAATTTAGTTAACTAATATAATCACTACTATACAGTTCTGCGCCAAATACCCCGAACATTCATTCAGTTTCTTCATATTATAGCTTTTCTTTTTATCTTTGCCTATTACCACACTAGTATTGCTAAATTAATTGATAAGAATTTTTAATTTTTCAGTGTTTTTAATGATGTAAGTTCCAGTTTTAAAATGATTGATTGAATATTCTTGATTTAGGCCGAGTTAAGGCAGTATTTCAGCCATATTTCGGTGGTAATAATGGGTAATTAAATATCGCTTGATATATTACAAAACATATTAGTTAAAAACACAAAATGAAATTTTATTCAATGAAAACGCTTACAATATGCACAATTTATGTTGAAGATATTAAACCATATAAACAAAAGTATAAATCACACAAAATGCAAAAAATACGATGGGGAATACAACTCTTGAAATATTGTCTACTTTTTTTGCTGCTCTTTTCCCGTTGATCAATCTTCTGTTGTTCAAGTTCTGTAAAATAAATGATGTATTGATTTGTAGCAAACTCATAAAAAACAAAATAAAAATAATTAACAATATTGACTCGAATTTTATTGTATAGATCACCATTTTATTGTCCATTTCTGCATCTTGTAAAGACCCAAATTTTTGTCGTCTTCTTTGCATCACATTTACAAAGGCAAACTCTAGAAGCGCAGCAAACACAAACGCAAGGCATGTTGCCATCCAAACATCAATTGCTTTAACATAAGATACCCTTGGTAGAGAAGAAATGGCGGAGCCTTTCTGTGTTGTCATGGTGAGAACTGTAAGGATGCCCAGGGAGATGCGCGCGGGAACAGCATCAATACTGAGCCAGAAGGAAACCCAGGATAACAGCACGATCATTATTGTTGGGATATAGATCTGGATCATGTAGAACCCAATGTTTCTATTTAGGTTGAAATTAATCTGAATGCAGGTGAAATCGCCATCAACTGAAAACATATTCAGAAAGCAAACAGTTGTACATAGTTTTGGCCGTTTATTTTGTTTAATTTCAAAACTTGATGATTAACTTTGTTTAAAAGAAAATGTTGATACGAAACAAGTGAGAGGAAGATTTACCTTTAGTTTTATCACACGTGTTGTTCGTCATAATGTTCACAAGAGTAAATTGAGGCAGCTCTACTGCACTGCTGGTGACCACGGGCCTGTCGGACTTCCATCGAAATTCAATTCTTTTCCTTGTGTATGCAACTACAGATAAATTTACTACTGCATTGTAAATGACGCATTAATCTATTTTTCAATATACACATTTTACCGAAGTATACTTACAGCTTTGTATATAAAGGGAACATGTTTGGGTATCCATGGGATATTTATGAAGTTTCATTGGACAGGATGCAGTTAAAGATACTCTACAATAGAAACCAGAAGTCTCTGTCGAGACTGAAGCTCTACTGGTTTGTACTTATAGCAAAGGAAGAGAAATGTACTTAAGCAGTTGGGAATTGAAACCTTACAACAGCAATCAACAGAATAGTGATCCTTGATAAAGTCTCTTTATGTTCTTAGTGTAGTCTACTTGTGTGCCAAGTTATATTGAAATCAGACCAAAACTGTAGGAGGAGTAGCATTTTGAACGAATTTCACAGAAATTTCTATTTATAGTAACCACGGCAATACCGTTTATCGAAATCAAAAACAATAGAAAAAAAGTGTAGTCTACTTGTGTGCCAAGTTATACTGAAATCAGACCAAAACTGTAGGAGGAGTAGCATTTTGAAAAATTGTTTACAGACAGACGGACAATAGACCGGACGCATTACTATAAAGATAAAAAATCAAGATAGCCTACAGACATCCGACAATAGACAATATAAAGATATTCTACAGAAGACGGGATAGGCTACAGATACCCTACGAAAGACAAGATACGCAGTACCCTACAATAGACAGGAGAAAGATAGCCTACAATACACGAGATAAAGATACCATACACTAAACAAGTTCAAGATACCCTCATTTACACAAGATTCAAATACCCCAAAATACACAAGATAAATATATCCTACAATACACAAGATAAAGATACCCTATAGTAGACAAGATTAAGATACCATGTACTTAACAAGTCACCCCCTATAGACAAGATAAAAATAAACGTATATATCATATAATAAAGAGGATATACATGTACCCTACAGTAGACAAAATGGAATTATCCTTCAAAATACAGAAATGGACACCAATTTTTAGGCAGGATACATTTTCTATTTAAAACCAACCGCCCCGTATTAGGAAATTTTAAAAGAGAATGTACTTGTGACATTTTCTCAACTTTATAAACGACAGAGGAACATATATATACTCGATCGAGATTGTCTTATAACATTGAAATAGCAATTGAAGCGTTTTAAATAAGTATACAAGGAAATTAAATGAAGTTTTAGTAAACATATAATTATTTAAATATGAAAGTGCAATATATCTTGTTTATTTCTTCTATATAATTTGTTTATTTCTTCTATTACTTTAGTATACTAAACAAGTTACCCCCCCCCCCCCCTATAGACAAGATAAAAATAAATGTATCATATAAGAAATTAATATTGATGTATTAATATTAAATTCTTTAGACTTAACTGGTATTATTATTCATTCACGCACGATATTCCTATCTAGTGATGAGTATCCATGAAAATTATATAAATATTGAAAAATGTCAACGTAAATGGCAACTTTAATGATTTGTTTGTCGTTTTATTTGATGTTTTAACCTAAAATCCATTATGTAGCAAACGGATGACAGTGAAAGATGCAGATCTGCTATTTCTGATCGTAGAAATCGGAGTGCATTAATCCCCTAGCCAGACATTAAATCATTTTATGATGTGACTAGAACTCCCATTATATAATTACTAAGATAAAATATAATCCAATTCTAATAGTATCATTTATTATACTCTTATCCGGAGCAGATTTCATTAGTAAAAATTACATCATAAGTGAAGTTTTGTCACGAAACAAGACCCCAGCATATAGAAGCATCGTTGAATTCCATATCTATTAAGCATTGATTTAATTTTTAAAAAATAATTGGTTGAAAACACCAATAAGTCTCTCATTTTGCAAGTTTTGTTGAATGATGTGTCTTGCTGTGCATTCAATGCCAAAACAGTGATTAAAAAGTCACTGAAATCTCTTATTTAACAATCCAATCCATAGCTGATTTGAAAATGAAAATTCTTCAAAGAAATAATTTCATTGGAGACAGTGTTTTAGTCCGAGAATGATTCTCATATCTAAATGTTGCAAACTTTGTTCCCCAAAGACAACTCTGTGTTCTTCAAATCTATTTATAAAACTACACCAAAGCACACGAACTGTAATCGTATGAAAAAAAAATTTCAGCGATTTGAAGCCATTATTCATTATTATATGATTGAATATTTTCCATCTCTCTGATTGGCTGAGATCCAACTATGTTAGAAAAATACTACGTTGTATTGTCCTGCACGTGACGTTCCAGGTCAATACAAGGATATATTTCCCCTACATTGATATAAAAATAGATTGAGAAATTCCGAATTGATACAAATTCTTTTGGAAAGCTATTTTAATGACTATGATTTTTTTTTCATGTGAACAAAACATAAGTGAATATATATTTTAGGGTGAGGGTGGTAAGAGGGGATGTAGGGACCCCTCCAACACTTTTAATGAACAACATTTTTTTTTACTTCTTGGCAGCCAGTTTTCCCTGATAATACTCCTTCCTTTCAAAATCTATCCTGTAAAAAAGACTGACATTATATATTTTTTTCATGGCAACTAAAATTGATAAAATACATTTCAAATTGATACGACTGGTAAGGTTTATTCACATTTTAATTCTGCTTCTCTCTTGTATTTGGCTAGGACTTAAGAAAATGAAAGCAAGTAATGAGCTGTATCATTATCAGTGAATCATATAATAAAACAATTATTGCTGTTTTTTCGGTCAATACAATGATTTAGCCATCTTCGAAGTACAATATTCAACCCGTCCTTCGGGCTCGGTGAATATAGTACTCCTCAGATGGCTAAATTATTGTATTTACCATGGCGTGCACATCGTTCAGCAAAAAAAAAAAAATTACTGTGCATTTTTATAAAATTTATTATTAAAAAAATGATTATATCGTAACATAAAAAATTAAATTCCTAAAAGATTCCGTGTAAACTTACTATGCCTGCAAGCCTAACGTTATATATATGTAATACCTACAGTACATCCGGATTTTATTTGTATATATATCTTCGATGAATTTTACTACTATTTATAAGTCATTGGTGCTAAGAATTTCGATAATTGTTTTTGTTTCACCCAGCCTCAAAAACCCTGTTCTAATAAGAGAACAGGCCTCTGTATGATCGTGAAGACTTCTAAATATTTTCTTAAAATAAATAAATAACCACCGTGTTGCTACAATCATTTTTGGTGGCCGATCATACATGGAGTTAAGTGTCAACTAGTGGAAGCACTAGGTGAAACAATAATGATTGTTAAAATTCATAGGACCAATGACTGATTAAATTGAATGATAGTAAAATTTGTCGAGATATATATACAAATAAAAATAAGTGAAGGATAAACGATTGAGGTAATTAAATTTGCTGGATTGAAATTGTTTTGTTTTATTTTCATTATTTAAAAATTAAACAAAAATGGCACTAAAAATACCTTTTTAAAGTAATCACAAAAATTCAGAAAATGCACTTGATTTGATTAAAAAAAAACAAATATTTTTTTAAATATCAAAAAATCTATTATTTTGTTGTGTCATAAATCAAAATATCGCGTAGTTGACTTCATCTCGTAGCATACTTAAATATTTAAAAATACCGTAAATTTTGTTCAGTCTAAACGTTAAAACCCATGAGCTTCCGGGGCTTCGCCCCTGCGGCCCCCATCAGGGCTTCTCTTGGACCCACTGCCTTTTTTGGCGTGCACATCATTTTCGTCTAGCTACGCCCCTGGTCATAGCATATCAATTTAAGGTCAGCGCAGTTTTGATGCGCAACATACATTCTACCAAAGATGAATCAGCTGACAAGATAATTTTTTGATTTAATAGTATTTAACGCTGTTAAAGTTATGTGTCGGATAAGAAAAAAGCTAACAGATAGATAGACGGACGGATATGAACAGTATATATAACAAAGACGTAGAAAAAATACTGAATCCAGGGTTTAACACTACCCTGGATCCGCAAAATAGTTGCGCCTACGACCATGATAAATAAAAAGTATCGTCCACTTATTCTGATATTCCCTCATCTGTTACGGTCATTTTTTAAAATGACCCTGTTTTTTAGGGGGGGGGGGGGGGGGCGTGGGGGTCAAATTCATTTCCAAGGGAAAACCCTAATATTCTTAATTGTTTATATATAATGATTGATTTCATTTCCACTAATTTTAAGCTAATGGCCATCTAATTTTCAAAAATGGCTAATGAACAAGGGACATCTTTCGAAAGTTGAGACAGATACTGTTTGACATTGGACCTGATATGGATTAAACCATAGGTAATAATATGAAGCTGTAATCGTTTTTGCTTTACATACTCATAGAGGGGTAATGGCTAATCAGAAGTGATTGGAGTAGGTAGTAATCTGTCATTAAAACTTGGACTAGCCCGTCCCAGCTGGGGGCTGTGGGTGAAACATTATTTTTGGACTCACTGTCAGAAGCCTTAATAAAACAATATATTTTAAACTATGTTTGTCCCAAAGGTTTTACCTTCAAATAATCGAAGATCTAATCTATTCCAATTGAACAAACATGTTTTCCATATTTAAACAAA